ACAGGACCTTAAAGAATGTAACCTGTTTTGCAAGCTCTGCAAATTTTTGTAAGCTGTTAAGGCAGAACTGCCAATCACTTAACATGTGACACATGATTGAAGTTCTGAACCATTAAGTGTGTGGAAATTTGAGGAGATAGGATAGCCATTCAGATAAGAAAATTGGATACTTATTGATATTTATTGAATACCCACTGTATTGTAGATATTGTACTAATTATGTTTCTCAATTAATCCTCAAAATCCTCCTGTGCCTCTGTTAGCATATTTTAAACTGATGAGAACATTGATTGTTGGGTTGAATAGCATGCCAAGGTTTACACTGTATAATGGAATCAAAGGCTGATTTTTAGTCTGTTTTTTTCAGACACCCAGGGTGTTTGAAGTTTTAGGAAATTGTAGTGCATGTACACTGACAGAAAAACCCTAGTTGTGTCCTTGTAAACAGTCTTTGAGAGGAGAATAGTCACAGGCCAGCACCAGGTAGCAGTCTTAGGACATGAGTGATAAAAATAAGGCATCATGGGAAGGGATAAAGTTGTGCAAATAATGGAGACATTTACTTTATAGGCTAATTTAAGTGTATCTAGGTTTCCCATACTCATCTTCTATTCAGTTTTTCAGTATTTTATTACCTATTTTTCTACCTTTTTACCCATACATGACAGTCTTTTTTTTTTTTTTTTTTTTGACAGGCAGAGTGGACAGTGAGAGAGAGAGACAGAGAGAAAGGTCTTCCTTTGCCGTTGGTTCACCCTCCAATGGCCGCCGCGGCCGGCGCGCTGCGGCCGGCGCACCGCGCTGATCCGATGGCAGGAGCCAGGAGCCAGGTGCTTTTCCTGGTCTCCCATGGGGTGCAGGGCCCAAGCACCTGGGCCATCCTCCACTGCACTCCCTGGCCACAGCAGAGGGCTGGCCTGGAAGAGGGGCAACCGGGACAGAATCCGGCGCCCCGACCGGGACTAGAACCCGGTGTGCCGGCGCCGCAAGGCGGAGGATTAGCCTAGTGAGCCGCGGCGCCGGCCTACATGACAGTCTTAATATGGATCCTAATACCCTTTTTCTATTCCTTCCTCAAATTCTTTATTCTTTTAATTTATTTTTAAATTTTTATTTACTTATTTGAAAGGCACAGTTACAGAGAAAGAGAGAGATCTTCAATTTGCTGTTTTACCCCCAAATGGCCACAAGGGCCAGAGCTGTGCTGATCCGAAACAGGAGCCAGGATGTGGGCACCACAGGTGGCAGCCCCAAAATTCTTTAAAGGAGATAAAATTGTTATCTTTTCTTCATTACTATAAGCAGAATGCAATTTGTTTGTTTATTTATTTGTCTAAACAAAATATCATTTTACCTATAGGGCTATCCTACTTCCCTAGGCTGAGGAATGCTGCATTTGAGGAAATAAAACAAACCTTAAATATCCTAAGTGTGTATCCCAAGTACTTTATCTTCCCAGCCTTCTGTTGGAGATAGCCAAGGCATGTTACCATTTGAATGTTTCTGAGGAACTTTTCAGTGAAGCAATCTTTATACCAGTTGAACCACCCCTTATTGTCCCTGCATCCACCCCCACTGTCTTGTTTTGTTTTGTTTGTTTTAAAGATTTATTTATTTTACTTGAAAGAGTTACATAGAGAGAGGAGAGGCAGGGAGAGAGAAAGCTCTTTTATCCGCTGGTTCACTCCCAAAATGGCCACAACAGCCACAGCTGGGCCTATCCAAAGTCAGGAGCTAGGAGCTGCTTCCAGGTCTCCCACGTGTGTGCAGAGGACCAAGGACTACTGCTTTCCTAGGCCAAAGCAGAGAGCTGGATTGGCAGTGGAGCAGCTGGGACTTGAACCATTGCCCATATGGGTTGCCAGCATTGCAGGTGGCAGCTTTATCTGCTATACCACAGCATCTACCCTGCTGTTTGTTTTTAAGAAGATTTATTTATTTATTTGAAAGGCAGAGAGAGGAAGAGAGAGAGAGGTCTTTGATCTACTGATTCACTCTCCAGATGGCTGCCACCGCTGGGAGTGGGCCAGACTGAAGCCCAGAGTGAGGAACTTCATCCAGGTCTCCTGCATGGATAGCAGGGGCCCAATCACTTGGGCCATCTTCTTTGGCTTTCTCAGGCACATTAGCAGGGAGCTGGATTGGAAGTGGAGCAGCCAGGACATGAACCAGCGCCCATGTGGGATGCCAGGGTCACAGAAAGTGGTTTTACTCGCTATACCAGAATGCCGGCTCCTAAATGTAACTGCTTTAAACCATTGTTCCTTGGAATATACTTCACAAAATTATATGGAGCCATTTAGAATATTACATTTTCTTGTTTTTAAAAAATGCTGTTAGCGGGGCTGATGCTGTGGCATAGTGGGTAAAGCCACCACCTGCAGTGCTGGCATCCCATATGGGCACCCATTCCAGTCCCGGCTGCTCCACTTCTGATCTAGCTTCCTGCTGATGGCCTGGGAAAGCAATAGAAGATGACCCAAGTCCTTGGACCCCTGCACCTGTGTGGGAGACCCAGAGGAAGCTCTTGGCTCCTGGCTTCAGATTGGCACAGCTCTAGCCACTGAGGCCAGTTGGGAAGTGCACCAACGGATGGAAGACGTCTCTTTCTGCCTCTCCTCTCTCTGTGTAACTCTGACTTTCAAATAAATAAATAAATCTTTAGAAAAAAATGCTGTTTCCGGTGTAGCTGTTTAAGGATTATAACTCTTTTTTTTTTTTTTAATAAATTTCAGCTTTGCTTTTTTTAAAATTTAGTTATTTCAGAGGCAGAGTTACAAAGAGAAGTGTTCCATCTGCTAGTTTACTCTGGTTTGTGAAATGAAAATGTAAAAATAGTTTATTGGGCATAATGAATTTTATTTATAAACAATAAAAATTTGAGATATTTTATAAGATTGAGTCATTTAGTTATTAGAGTGATATGTCATACAGAAAAAAAATCGTATTTGGGGCTGATTTGATTTGAATTCTTGCTCTACCAGAATGAATGTATTAAACATTCATTATGTACTTGTTAAGAAATAGCTATATACAATAGAAGTGGAATGGGAGGGTGAGATGGAGAGAAGATAAAGTGCTTGTCTTTGAAGAATTCAGATTGGCAGCATTCAGTACATTTCTGAATTGGCTAACTTGTTGGCAGAATGGAGGTAAAAGAACATAAAGCACCAAAGGTGATACTTAGAGGAACAATGGGTATGTGCTTAACTAGAATTAAGTTATGTTTTGTCATTTACACTGTTTAATAATAGAACTAAACAGAGACATGAAAATATGGATTAATACCCTTTCTGCTTGGTGACTGCAATCTTTTGAGAAATTTAAATGGCATCAGGGCCAGTGTTGTGTTGCTACAGAGTAAGCTGCCACTTGCATGCTGTTATCCCATACAAGAGCGCCAGTTCAAGTCCCAGCTCTTCTGCTGATCCAGCTTTCTGCTGACGCTCCTGGGAAGGCGGCAAAGGATGGCCCAAGTAGTTGGATTCCTGCCACCCATGTGGGAGACCAAGATGGAGTTCCTGGCTCCTGGCTTTAGCCTCGCTTAGACCTGGCTGTTACGGCCATTTGGGGAGTGAATCAGTGGATGAAAGAGCTCTACAAATAAATAAATCTTTTTTTAAAAAAAGATTAAAGCTGTGTAATTAATTCATTCAGATACTCCATGGACTCCTGTTAAGTTCAGGAATTCTTTTGACCCCAGGAATACTTACAAGGTTTGAAAATTTGAGGGCTCAGTACTATTTCCTTGTGTTCTGTTCTTTTTGACTAAGCACAGTAGTTTGTCAGAGTCCAAAAATATTACTTGTTGGGGCCATTGCTGTGGTGCAGCGAGTTAAAGCCCTGGCCTGCAGCACCGGCATCCCATATGGGCACTGGTTTGAGTCCTGGCTGCTCCACTTCCTTTCCAGTGGAGGATGGCCCAAGTTCTTGGGTCCCTGCATTCATGTGAGAGACCCAGAAGAAGCTCCTGGCTCCTGGCTTTAGAACCGCTCAGCTCTGATCGTTGTGGCTATTTGGGGAGTGAACCAGTGGATGGAAGACCTCCCTCTCTGTCTTACCTCTCTTTTTAACTGTTTCAAATAAATAAAATAAATCTTAAAAAATATTTATTTTTTTAGCCTAATGAAAATATTTACCATCTGTTTAAGAAACAAACCTTTGATTTAGGATGAGAGCCAACATCTATAGCAAGGGCCACTTATTTTTAGACCTGTAGTGTCTCTTGCACTATAGGTCTAAAGCACTGCTTTACTGTGCCATTGTAGAAAAGCAGCTGCAGACAGTACGTAAATGAGTGGCTGTGACTGTGTTCCAATAAAGCTTTATTATGGACCATAAGATTTGGATTTTGTGTAATTCTCACATCACAAAATACTGTTTTTGTTATGAATTTTTAAAATCTCAATTATGTAAAAATTGTAGAAGTATGTTCGCATCATGTGTTGTATGAAAACAAGTGGCAAACGGATTTGACCCACACATCATAGTTTGCTGATCTGGGGCATAATCCACTAATTTGCTGTAACTTGCTGGATAATAATTGCAGCACATTTAGGTAAATGGTCCTTTCAGCAGGGATTGTGTGTATCAGAGTTCATGTCCTGTTTTTTTTCTCATTCGAGCTTACTGTTACAGATGGAGTCTGTGTGGATGCTAGGAAGCTAGTAAGAAAAGATTCCCTCCCACCCCCATCTCCAGTTAACAATTTGAAGGGCATCTTGTAAAGGCTAATTGCTCTCAGACTTATCATCCAACTAAAGTAAAATTATGTAAGTGGGAATTTCAGGTGCTATGTTCAAGATCTTCTGTACTTGGAATTTTAAAGATTTATTCAAGAAGTTTTATCTTTCAAATAGTTATATGTAAATTGGTGTACATTTGAATCCTGTGAGCACTACTGAACACTACTTGGTCCTGAAAAGAAAAGTGATTTTTATACTGGTTATATTAATTTGTATGATGAAAATGTAATTTAAAATTCTGTTAATTTTCCGTAGACACCAGAGAAGAAACAGTCGGAATCATCTAGGGGAAGAAAGAGAAAAGCAGAAAACCAGAATGAAAGTAGTCAGGGTAAGTGAAGCAGCATCTTCCTTGAGAGCCCAGTAGGCATTTACAAATAACTGTTCTTTTTTTATTTTATTTTATTTTAACTGGTTAATATTTTAATTGTAAAATAAGTAATTTCATATCTTTGTGATTTTATGGCCATTATATAAATTCTGCATTGATAATAGTTTAGGCATGAGAAGCAGTGGCATGAAATTAGTCTTTTTGTATCATTTGCACCACAGGTCTTAAAGTCATTGTGTTGAGGAGTTTTGACATCTCATTTCTATTTTAATTTGTGTCCTGGAAAGACAACTATCATATCAAATCTGACAAATGTTACTTTATGCCTTTTATTTCTCTTTATTTGAATTGTGGTAGTAAAAAAACTGTAAATCTCACTTTAGAACAAATACCTAAGCTTATTCTTACTCTGTTTTTTAAAAGGCTATATAAATGAGAATCTTCATTTGAAACACCATCTTTTTACCAACCTTTTGTGATATGAGCTAGAAAAATTATTTTCTTTACACTACGAAGTCTCTGGTAATAGGGAGTAATATAGGACTAATATTTAATTTGAATACTCAAAATCAAATATAATAAGGCCCTTAATTCGTAATGATGATTGTATATACATAAAGTTCTGGAGCCTGAGGCTTATAATCTTACATGTGGCTGTGAGTTCTAAGAATGTATATATAGAAACTGTCTTTGTGGAAGAGGTAGGTTAAGCCATTTTTTATATTTCTAGGTTTATAATACTTTGTGTCTCACTTTTTTATTTTAAAGATTTATTTTATTTATTTGAAAGTCAGAATTACACAGAGAGAGGAGAGGCAGAGAGAGAGAGTGGTCTTCCATCTGTTGGTTCACTCCCCAGGTGGCCACAATGGCCGGAGCTGCGCCGATCCGAAGCCAGGAGCCAGGAGCTTCTTCTGGGTCTCCCACGCGGGTGCAGGGGCCCAAGGACTTGGACCATCTTTTACTGATTTCCCAGGCCATAGCAGAGAGCTGGATCAAAAGTGGAGCAACCGGGACTTGAACCAGCGCCCATATGGGATACCGGCACTTCAGGCCGGGGCTTTAACCCACTGCACCACAGTGCCGCCCCATGTCTCACTGTTTTGGTTTTTTTGTTTGTTTGTTTAAAGAAACAGGGAGAGACAGAGAGAGGTCTTCCATCCTCTGGTTCACTCCCCAAATAAATGGCCACAATGGCCAGAGCTGGGCCAGTCTGAAGCTAGGAGCTTCTTCTAGGTCTTCCAAGCAGTAGACCATTTTCTACTGCTTTCCCAGGCCATAGCAGAGAGCTGGATCAGAAGTGGAGCAGCTGGGACTCAAACTGGTACCTCTATGGGATGCTGGGCACTGCAGGCTAATGCTTAACCTACTATGCCACAGCGCCAGACCCATGTCTCACTTTTGACTGAGCTCATTTTGGGTCTTAGTATAGTTTCCCCAAGTTATGATTAGTGGATTTGAAGATTTATGTATTGAAAAGATATATTAATTACAGTGGTTTCAACTGCAGTTTAAACAAATAAACAAGCAACTTCAAAAATCAAGTGCCTAGGGGCCAGCACTGTGGTGCAGCGGGTTAAAGCCCTGGCCTGAAGCCCCAGCATCCCATATATGTGCTGATTCTAGTCCTGGCTGCTCTTCTTCCTATCCAGCTCTCTGCTATGGCCTAGGAAAGCAATAAAGGATGGCCCAAGTCCTTGGGCCCCTGCACCCACGTGGGAGACCCAGAAGAAGCTCCTGGCTCCTGGCTTCAGATTGGCACAGCTTTGGCCACAGTTGCGGCCATCTGGGGAGTGAGCCAGCAGATTGAAGACCTCTCTCTGTCTCTACTAAATCTTTTTATTATTATTAATTTTTTTAAATTTATTTGACAGGTAGAGTTAGACAGTGAGAGGGAGAGACAGAGAGAAAGGTCTTCCTTCTGTTGGTTCACTCCCCAAATGGCCACAACAGCTGGCGCTGCACCAATCCGAAGCCAGGAGCCAGGTACTTCTTTCTGGTCTCCCTATGCGGGTACAGGGGCCCAAGCTCTTGGGCCATCCTCCACTGCCCTCCTGGGCCACAGCAGAAAGCTAGACTGGAAGAGGAGCAACCGGGACTAGAGCTGGTGCCCATATGGCATGCCTGTGCCGCAGGCTGAGGATTAACCTAGTGAGCCACAGCGCCGGCCCCTCTACTAAATCTTAAAAAAAAAAAAAAAAAATCAAGTGCCTAGACTGAGGCTTCTGGATTAGTTGATCCAACTTTGTTTTTTTTTTTTTTTTTAAATGCCACTGAGCTTGTGTCTGCCAGGCCTGGGTCACTCAATCTTCCCTGAATAAACCTTATCTGAGCCTTTTCATGAAGACTTCTCATTTCTGTCAGTAAGGATGAGCCCAGAACCGGCATCGGGAGGTCCAGCAAGACGAGGCCCTGAAGTGAGGAACCGAGGCCCTTCTCGCAGTCAACCTGCCACGCCATGTTCAGAGTTTGGCTTACAGGGTGGTGGCCAATGTCACACCACAGAGCCGGTCACGGCAGATTCAGCTCACTGCCACTGGCAAGCGTTGCAGACAGCAACAAGGCCACAAGGCCGGCCCCACTGGTGAGCACGTGACTCCGTAGTTACACTGACAGTGCTTCGAGCACCAGATCCCAGATGTTGCTGCTGCCGGTGCCCATCAAAAAAGATTCTTGGGGCCAGCGCTGTGGCACAGTGGGTTAACACCCTGGTCTGAAGCACTGGCATTCCGTATGGGCGCCGGTTCGGGGCCCGGCTGCTCTACTTCCTATCCAGCTCTCTGCTATGGCCCGGGAAAGCAGTAGAAGATGGCCCTGGTCCTTGGGCCCCTGTACCCACGTGGGAGACAAAGAGGAAGCTCCTGGCTCTTGGCTTCGGATCGGCACAGCTCCAGGGGAGTGAACACATCTGGGGAGTGAACCATCGGATGGAGGACCCCTCTCTCTCTCTCTCTCTCTCTCTCTCTCTCTGCCTCTCCTCTCTCTGTGTAACTCTGACTTTAAAATAAATAAATAAATCTTAAAAAAAAAAAAAAAAAAAAGAACTTACGTTGATTTTTTTAAATTATTATTTTTATTTATTTGAAAGAGTTACAGAGAGAGGTAGAGCCAGAAAGACAGACAGGTATGCCATCTGCTAGTTCACTCCCCAAATGACTGCAACAGCCAGAGCTGAGCTGATCCAAAGCCAGGAGCTTCTTCCGGGTCTCCCATGCAGGTGCAGGGGCCCAGGGACTTGGGCCATCTTCTACTGCTTTCCCAGGCCATAGCAGAGAGCTGGAACAGAAGTGGAGCAGCCGTGACTTGAACTGGCGCCTATATGGGATGCCGGCACTGCTGGCCAGGGCTTTAACAGCCACAGCGCCGGCCACGAACCCATGTTTTGTGTGTGTGTGTTCTGCCATCCAGAGAGTCTGGTTTTGAGATGGTTGCCTTCACTCATACTTGCTTCAGGCAGAGGCTGGCTTTCTAAGTGTGCCTGTCCCCCACCCCTTCTTTTAGAGTGAACTACTTTAAGTCCACTGAAAACTTCTCCTGTAGTTTTATATACCAGATTGGGTAATGTTTCCATTCCAAAATGAATTTTGTCAGCAGAGGGACTATCACCCTTAAAAAATCAGGCCCATCTCTGTACTTAAAATTCTCCTTGCAAAAATGGGCTAAATGAAGGAGGGATGGTATCTGAACAAGATGAGATTTTTGAGGAAGGAAGAGAATTAGAAGTGGGAGCTAAATAGACATCAGCCTTCCCTGAAAATACATGTGCTATGTAGGGGAGAGTAGTGTTAACAAAATTTGAGTTCAATTAGGGAAAATGAATTGGGGAAATAGCCTTTGGGTAGGCAACCAAAAAATCTGTCTGTCTTCATGAACAAATAGTACCTCTTCAGAATATGTAGGAAGATAGACAGAAGTCCTTTTTTTCTTTTTATAAAGATTTATTTATTTTATTTGAAAGGGTTAGAGAGGAAGAGATCTTCTATCTGCTGGTTCACTCCCCAGGTGGCTGCAACAGCTGGAGCTGGGCCAGACTGAAGCCAGGAGCCAGTAGCTTCTTCCAGGTCTCCCATGTGGGTGCAGGGGCCCAAGTGCTTGAGCCATCCTCTGCTGCTTTCTCAGGCCATTAGCAGGGAGCTGGATCCGAAGTAGAGCAGCCAGGACACAAACTGATGCCCATATGGGATGCCAGCATTGCAGGGTGTGGCTTCACCTGCTATACCACAATGCCATCCCTGGGCAGTACCTTTGATATAAAATATTTACAGTCGTATCTAGCCTCTAAAGAAATCTGCATAAAGTTATTGTTTAAAATTTCTAGAAGGCAGGCCGGCGCCGCGGCTCACTAGGCTAATCCTCCACCTAGCGGCGCCGGCACACCGGGTTCTAGTCCCGGTTGGGGCGCTGGATTCTGTCCCCGTTGCCCCTCTTCCAGGCCAGCTCTCTGCTGTGGCCAGGGAGTGCAGTGGAGGATGGCCCAGGTGCTTGGGCCCTGCACCCCATGGGAGACCAGGAAAAGCACCTGGCTCCTGGCTCCTGCCATCGGATCAGCGCGGTGCACTGGCCGCAGCGCGCCAGCTGCGGCGGCCATTGGAGGGTGAACCAACGGCAAAGGAAGACCTTTCTCTCTGTCTCTCTCTCTCACTGTCCACTCTGCCTGTCAAAATAAATAAATAAATAAATAAAATAAAATAAAATTTCTGGAAGGCAGTTATAGTCTTCAGTACTTGTTTGCATCTGTAAACATTCCCTTACCTTAGTCCAAGAAGGAGTTTATGTTGAACTTTTGAGTATATTTTTTGTTCATCTCAGTAATTCCTGGCACTTGTAACAGCTTGAGAAATATTTGTTGCATAAAGCAAATGAATGCATGAATATAAGTCAGTATTGAATTGGTAGATGTTTATGGAACTTTCATGGAAAAATCATGTTAAGTAAATTTTACATAGGTTTCAAAACCTTTTTTTGCAACAAGGTAAACTAATATGAACTTGCTACAACATTCTGACCAAGGTTAGTTTGAGGCACTAAGAATCTAAGATGTTAGGGCTGGTGCTGTGGTACAGTGGGTCAAAACCATGACTTGCAGCACCGGCATGCCATGTGGGCACTGGTTGGAGTCTCAGCTCCTCCACTTCCTATCCAACTCCTTGGTAATGCACCTGGTAAAGCAGCAGGAGATGACCCAAGTGCTTAGGCCCCTGCACCCATGTGGAAGACTTGGAGGGAACTCCTGGCTTCAGCCTGGCCTAGACCCCACTGTTTCAGCCTCTTGGGAAGTGAACCAGTGGATGGAAGACCTCTCTGTGTCCCCGCTCACCCCCCCCAACTCTGCCTTTCAAGTAAATAAAATAAATATTTTTTGAAAAAAGAATATGAAATATCAGTTTGAAAGGAAACTGTCAGAGAGATGAAGTCTGCTAAAGTTAAGAACAAAAGGTTGGGGGGAGCGGCAGCACTGTGGTATAGTTGGTAAAGCATGGGAGACCCGGAAGAAGCTCTCTGATAGTTTCCTTTCAAAGTGTGAACCTGGGTGGAAAAATGATGGAATCATTGATGATTTACAAAAAATTTACAGGATAACGGGCCAAAGAAATCAGCAGTTTACCATGGATAACTCAATTTTAAGGCGCTTAGAGCAACAGACTCTTCACATCAGTTTGCAAGGAAAAATGTTACTCTTATTTGTGCCCTAATTGAAGAGTACTCATGATTAACAGCAGAAACAGTAGTCAACATAGACTTCTGAATTGATTCAGCTTGCTCCAATCTGACTGAAAATCAGGATGGACCAGATTTCTTGATCAATGGATATCAAAACTACTCCACCAAGATTAGTGCAGTTAAGAGCAGCACTTTCAAGGGAAGTTTGTAACAAGTGGGGATAAGATCCTGAAACATTTTTTAGAGAATTATAATTGGAGATGAAAAATGGAGTTACTGGTACAATCTTGAAGACAAAACACAGTAAAAGCAGCAGATAGCAAGAAGTGGACGTGGTCAGAGCAAATGTTGATCAGTCAGAAACAAAGGCCTGACAACAGCTTTCTGGGATGTTCAAAGCATTTTGCTTGTTGACCTTTTGGGCCAAAACCCAATACTATCTGTTTATTGGGAGTGTTTGAGAAAGTCAGCCATAGCTTCAGCCTGGAGGGTCCAAATAGGTAACTCAGATGGGTGCCAATTTGGGTCTGGGCTGCTCCACTTCTGATCCAGCTCCCGGCTGATGGCCTGGGAAAGCAGTGGAAGATGGCCTAAGTGTTTGGGCCCCTGCACCCATGTGGGACACCTGGATGAAGCTCCTGGCTCCTTGCTTCACCCTGGCCATTGTGGCCTTCTGTGGAGTGAACCAATAGGTGGAAAATCTCTGTCTTTCCCTCCCTCTCTATAATTCTGACTTTTAAATCAAAGAAATAAATCTTAAAGAAGAGAAAAATGCCCTGGAAAGCTTCAGCAGAGAGTGCTTTTCTACAATGACAGTGCTCCTGTTTGATACCTCTCAACACACTGTCGGAGCTTTGATGGGAAATCATTAGGCAATAGGCATCTGTTCAAGTTATAGGCCTGTTTCGCTTCTTCTGACAATGACGACAACTGCTACTACTACTTCGGGAGTTGAAATTTATTATTGAAAAAAAAGTCTACCTTTCCCCCCTCCTCAGTAGTCTTGTCCATTAGCTGACCCCAACTTCCACCTTTGTCCATTGTGACCCAGCTACTTGGGTGAGGGACTCCTCCAGGGACTGCATCAAGGCCTGGGCCTTGTTCTTGAGCATTCTGAAGCCCGCATTCTTGGCATACATACGCAGCAGAAGGTTGGCCACATTGGTGATGGCTACACGGCCCTCCATGCAGTCTGTGAGGATGGATTTAAGATCGTCTTCGTTAGGCTTTTGGTTCCCATTCTGTTCGTACATAGCCCATAAGTTACTGGTGATGGCCCTAGTGACCCGAGTGCCCATGTCTCCATAATCCAAGTAGGCCAGCAGTGATCCCTCATGGCTCCTCACCTTAGCTTTTAAAGCCAGATTGTCCAAGTTGTGTTTTGCTGGCCTCGGCCTGTAGCTTCCAGAAGTCCAGTAGACTCCTTGGGAACACACTGGGAGCTGTAGTTTCCCAGCTCCACAAGTCTGATTTTCTGATTTCTTTTTGTTCACACCATTTTTTTTTTTTTTCATTTAATAAGGTAAAAAAGACCTCATTGACATAATTAAGTTTCTAGGACCCCCAGTTCTTTAGGGATGGACTAAATGGCTGGCATCTGCTTATGAAAATGCCTGTAACTTGATGGAGATTATGTAGAGAAATAAAGCTTGTATTTATAATTTTTTTTTTAAAGTTCTTTTTTTTTAATTTTATTTTTTTATTATTTATTTATTTTTTATTATTTTTGACAGGCAGAGTGGACAGTGAGAGAGAGAGACAGAGAGGAAGGTCTTCCTTTGCCGTTGGTTCACCCTCCAATGGCCGCCGCTGCAGCCGGCGCACTGCACTGATCCGATGGCAGGAGCCAGGATCCAGGTGCTTTTCCTGGTCTCCCATGGGGTGCAGGGCCCAAGCACCTGGGCCATCCTCCACTGCACTCCCTGGCCATAGCAGAGAGCTGTCCTGGAAGAGGGGCAACCGGGACAGAATCCGGCGCCCCAACCGGGACTAGAACCCGGTGTGCCGGCGCCGCTAGGTGGAGGATTAGCCTATTGAGCCACGGCGCCGGCCTTGTATTTATAATTTTTTATCATTTAATTCCATTTTCCACACATCTTTTAAAGACCTCTTAAATACGCTTGTTATGCAAAACTTTTGACTCCCTGATAGCATTAATTTTTTTACTGTAATATGAAGTCATGTATTCTATATAGTTCCAAACAAGGATGGATGCCTACCCTTCCCAAAACAATTTCTAAATACTACATGTATTAGCAGATCCTTAATTCAGCATTTATAAAACTGATAGCCTATTATTGAGTACATTTGTAATGACCTGGTTCATTTTATCAATGTAGTTATAGAAAAACTATTTAAAATCAGTTTATTTTAAAATACTCTTAATTTGTAAATGCTTTCTTAGAAAATCAAACACTTTGGCCGGCGCCGCGGCTCACTAGGCTAATCCTCCATCTTGAGGCGCCAGCACACCGGGTTCTAGTCCCGGTCGGGGCGCTGGATTCTGTCCCGGTTGCCCCTCTTCCAGGCCAGCTCTCTGCTGTGGCCAGGGAGTGCAGTGGAGGATGGCCCAAGTGCTTGGGCCATGCACCCCATGGGAGACCAGGAGAAGTACCTGGCTCCTGGCTTCAGATCAGCGCGGTGCGCCGGCCGTGGCAGCCATTGGAGGGTGAACCAACGGCAAAGGAAGACCTTTCTCTCTGTCTCTCTATCTCTCTCTCTCACTGTCTACTCTGCCTGTCCAAAAAAAAAAAAAAAAGAAAAAGAAAATCAAACACTTGACAGAATAATCTTCATATTGAAGTGTGTTATTGTTAGTTTGCTAGGGATTGTTATGTTTTATATTATAGCTGTGGGGAGCAATCCGGACTGGACTGAGTTACTGGAATTAAGACTTATTCTATGCATCTGCTCTCCCACAATATGGCGCTGGGAGAGAAGTAAACAGCTTCCGCACAGCTGCCTCCAGTTCAGCTAATAAACTGTAGGACTTGCTCCTGATTGGAGAGCAGCATACTCGGCGTGCGGGCAGCCGAGTTAGGATTGGCAGAGGAGGACTATAAAGGAGGAGAGAGACGGCATGCACCAGGAACATCTAAGGGAACATCTGGGGGAACACCTGTGCAGCCCCCCGAGAGAGCCGGCCGGCGGTGTGCCGCTCCCCTGCGGAAGTGGGGAATGTGGCCAGGGGGAACTGCCCTTCCACGGAGGTGGAAGGGATAGTAGCCAACCCGGGAAGAACCAGCAGAAAACCCGGGGAGGGCCGAGCAGACGAAAGAACAGCGCAGGGTCCTGTGTCGTTCCTCCACGAAGAGGGGGAGCGACATAATGGTGCCGTGACTCGGATATGAAGCCTAGGCAGGGTTTAGTGTCGTTCCCCCATGAAGACGGGGAGCGACAATAGCCTTTTAATTATTATTTACAAGTATTAATGTTAGTTATGCAGTGGCCACTTTTTTGTTCATTGACCTTTCTGTAATTAGTAGCTACTAAACAATATTAATAATGTAATTTTTAATACAGGATATCTCTTAACATTATTTACTTATCTGATGCTCTGATAATTGGAACTTGTGAAAATTGGCAAGTTTCTGTTGAAATGTCAGTTGAATTTTAGCTTTCTGGGTTTTTTAATCTGATGCCATTATTACTCTAGTAATGTAGTCTTTTTTATGTATATTAGAGAAATTAAATTTTGTATATTCTCTTTCTGTTAAAATATATGGTATATCCTCATGATTAACTGAATCTTTTTTTTTTTTCCACATTTTAGGAAAAAGTATTGGGGGACGTGGCCATAAAATTAGTGACTATTTTGAAGTAAGTTCCGTGAGGATTATCTCCAGTTCCTAATTCAATAGAATTCTGCTGTAAGCTGAAAATAATTTGCTTGAAATTCAAGGTCAAGTTCTGATCAGAGCTTTCATGCATTAAAATTTACTTTATGGTGATGTGATATCATAAGTTTCAAAGTTCTTTCTCACGTATTTGCTTGTATTGTAACAACCCTTAAGCTATACAGAGTAGGTATAGATATTTTTGTTTTAAAGACCTTGAATCTTAGGGTGTGATATGTAAAGTAACCTATTAAATGTGGATGCTAAATGGAAGAATAGAGAGTAAGTAGAACTTAAGTCTGTGGTCTCTACTAATAGTACAGGCTTTATCATACCATAGCAGCATTTGAGCCCTATGGTTGGAGATAAAATAATTGGTAGAAATGTAGATCTAAGAGACCTGGAAAACAGTGAAGAGTAATAAATGTACAGTCTTTCCCAATCTGGAATGGTTCCCTGCTTCTACTTAGAAACACTTGTGGCTACCAGTTTTACTTTAGAAAATATTAATGTGACTATTAAAACAACAAATATGAGCTACTGTTGAAAAATAATTATATTTTGAGAGTGTAAAAAAAAAGAGTGTAAGCAAAATTGGCTGCTTAGGTAAACAAGAGAATTGGAAAAAAAATATTTTTAAATATTCAGTTGCTCTTTCATGGGATTATAGAATCTAAGGTAAAATAAAACTATCATTGCCTAATGCTCCTTAGTTAAGATCTGATATCATTAAGGACATTAGCCAAAGGTGGGATAAAAATTCAAATAAATACATGTGGGGCTGGCACGTTGGTGCAGTGGGTTAAAGCCCCAACCTGAAGCACCAGCATCCCATATGGGCCCTGGTTTGAGTCCCAGCTGCTCCTCTTCCAATCCAGCTCTCTGCTATGGCCTGGGAAGGCAGTAGAGGATGGCCCAAGTCTTTGAGCCTCTGTACCCGCGTAGGAGACCCAGAAGAAACTCTTGGCTCCTGACTTCAGATCAGCTCAGCTTCTGCCATTGCAGCCATTTGGAGAGTGAACCAGTGGGTGGAAGATGCCCCCCGCCCCCCTCCTTTCTCTGTGTCTCTGCTTCTCTCTGTAACTGTCAAATAAACAAAAATAAATCTTTAAATAAATAAATAAATACATGTATGTTGAATGGCTATTTAGTACTGGGCTACAGTACTTATGCAGGTACTGTAGATAAAGATGATAAAATCCCTAGATTGCAGGCACTCGTTTAATGAACACGCTACAAAGTTCCCATCTTTGCTGTTCATGTCAGAGCTAAGTGATTAATTAAATTAGAAAGTGAAATTCCCCCCAAGAATACAGTAGTAGCAAGTTGTTTTCTTCTCCCATCCTTGGTACAGAAGCATGAAATAGGAAAATAACTAGCCATGGAACAAGTGAGTTGGCTTCTCCTAATATGCAGCTGTCATGCACTTTGTTGAGAAAAAAGAGATTTTTTTTAAAAGCAGATATTGTGCTGTTAAAGAGTCTTGTTCTTCATAGTTTTATTTTTTGGTTTGTTTTTTGTTTTTAATTCATTTGAGGGAGAGACAGAGCTTTCATCTGCTGATTTACTCTCTAAATGCCCACAATTGCTGGGGCTGCATTGGGTCTGGTGCCAAGAGCTGGGAACTCAATCAGGTCTCCCACATGGGTGGAGGGAACCCAACTACTTGAGTCATTACTGCTTCCCAGGGTCTGCATTGGCAGGAAGCTGGAGTCAGGACCTGGAGCCACAATCAAACCCAGACACTCCAATAAAGGATGAAGGCATCGTAACCACTAGGCAAAACACCTTTCCCCACAGTTTTTATATAGTGTCATGAACATTTGGATATTAACATTTTAAAAGTGATGATTCAGTTTCTTCGATAAAGTTGATTAGGTTTACTAGCATCATCTAATTTTCTTGAGATTAGCAGCCATTTCTTTTTAAAGAATAGAATAAAGAGTGAACTTTTGGCTGGCGCCGCAGCTCACTAGGCTAATCCTCTGCCTTGCGGCGCTGGCACACCAGGTTTTAGTCCCGGTCGGGGCGCCGGATTCTTTCCCAGTTGCCCCTCTTCCAGGCCAGCTCTCTGCTGTGGCCAGGGAGTGCAGTGGAGGATGGCCCAAGTGCTTGGGCCCTGCACCCCATGGGAGACCAGGAGAAGTACCTGGCTCCTGCCATCGGATCAGCGTGGTGCGCCGGTCACAGCGCGGCGGCCATTGGAGGGTGAACCAGCGGCAAAGGAAGACCTTTCTCTCTCTCACTGTCCACTCTGCCTGTCAAAAAAAAAAAAAAGAGTGAACTTTAAAAAAAAAATTTATGTGTTGATTTGAAAGGCAGAGTTATGGAGAGGGCAGAGGCAGAGAGAGAATCTTCCATTCACTAGTTCACTCCCCAAATGGCCGCAATGGCTGGAGCTGCGCTGATCCGAAGCCAGGAGCTTTCTCCAGGTCTCCTACGTGGGTGTAAGGGCCCAAGGACTTGGGCCATCTTCTACTGCTTTCCCAGGCCACAGCAGAGAGCCAGGTCAGAACTGGAAAAGCCAAGACTCGAACTGGCACCCACATTGGACACCAGCATTGTAGGCGGCAGCTTTACCTGCTATGCCACTGCACCAGCCCCCAGCAGCCATATTATTTTAAGACAGATTTATACATACATGAACTGTGCTAAGATTTGGGGAAAAACAAAACATGTTCATTGCTTTGGTAGAATTTATTTGTCTTTGAGTCAATCACGGTAGCAAATTATGGTTGGAAAGAAAACTAATACATTTCTTTTTTAAATGATTTATTTATTTATTTGAAAGGCAGAGTTTAAAAAGAGAGAGGTATCTTCATCTACTGGTTCACTTCCCAGATGTCCACAGCAGTTGGAGCTGGGCTAGTCAGGAGCCATTATCTTATTCCAGTTTTCCCATGTGGGTACAGGGACCCAAGCACTTGGGCCATCCTCTGCTGCTTTCCCAGGCACATTAGCAGGTAGCTAGATCAGAAGTGGAGCAGCTGGGGCTGGCGCCACAGCTCACTAGGCTAATCTTCCGCCTGCGGTGCTGGTACCCCCGGTTCTAGTCCTGGTTGGGGTGCTGGATTCTGTCCTGGTTGCTCCTCTTCCAGTCCAGCTCTCTGCTGTGGCCCGGGAGGGCAGTGGAGGATGGCCCAAGTGTTTGGGCCCTGAACCCGCATGGGAGATCAGGAGAAAGCACCTGGCTCCTGGCTTCGGATCAGTGCAGCACGCTGGCTGTACTGGCCACTTGGGGGGGGTGAATCGACAGGAAAGGAAGACCTTTCTCTCTCTCTCTCTCTCTAACTCTGCCTGTCAAAAAAAAAAAAAAAAAAAAAAAAAAGGGAGCAGCTGGGACTCAAACCGGCACCTATATGGAATGCTGGTATAGCAGGTGTGGCTTTACCTGCTATGCCACAATGCTGGCCCCAGTAATACATCTTCATACGATGTAGTTTGGCGGGTAGACACTTGGTGTAATAGTTAAGATGCCTTTGGGATGCTTGCATTCCGTATCATGGTACCTGGTATCAGGTCTCCCACATGGCTCCTCTGTTTCTAGTACAGTTTCCTGCTAATGTGCATCCAGGGAGGCAGCAGTACTTGGCTCAGGTACTTGGGTTCCTGCCAGTCATGTGGGAGACCCTGTTGGAGTTACAGGCTCTTGACTTAGGCCTAGCCCTGCCCTGGCTGTTGCAGGCATTTGAAGAGAAAGCTAGTAAATAACAATTTTAAAGCTGTAATCTTGTCATGTTGTAAATATCAGTAGTCTCTAATTAGCCATGTGGGACTTTGCAGTAAGTCTCCTTTTTTAGTTTTTGTGGGCCCATTTAAAATGACTTAATTTAAAATAAAATATGTTTAAGTGAATTCTTAATTCAAATAAAATCTAATCCTGTTCTAATAATGATGTTTCCTTATCGTTTTTTTCAGTACCAAGGTGGGAATGGCTCAAGTCCAGTAAGAGGCGTACCTCCTGCAATCCGTTCTCCTCAAAATTCACATTCACATTCCACGCCTTCCTCATCTGTAAGTTTTTCAAGTTTTCCATGCATAGCCTTTGTCTAGAAGGTTATGTACATTGAATAACTTTTAGCATTTGTTACTTATATCGAGAACTCCTATATAAATTAGTGTTTGTCTTTTAAAAATCATTTCTGTGAGGTGATTTGAATCCTTTTTTGATGATCTGATTCTGTCGAAACTTTATTTGCAAAAGTGAGCATAAAGATTTCTTGAATTAATGGTATCTAAGAAATACTGTTTCTGTAAAAGAATGCTACTGAATCTGTAGAAATAAAGTTAATATTCTTGACTTAGTTCCTAATTTCTTTTTTTTTTTTAAGATTTATTTTATTTATTTGAAAGAGTTACAGAGAGGGGTAGAGACAGAGAGAAAGGTCTTCCCATCCGCTGGTTTGCTCCCCAGATGGCTGCCAAGGCCAGAGCTGTGCTGATCTGAAACCAGGAGCCAGGAGTTTCTTCCGGGTCTCCCATGTGGGTGCAGGTGCCCAAGGACGTGGGCCATCTTCTACTGCTATCCCAGGCCATAACAGAGAGCAGAATCGGAAGAGGAGCAACTGGGACTAGAACTGGCACCCATATGGGATGCTGACACTTAAGGCCAGGGCTTTCATCCGCTGTGCCACAGCACCAGCCCCAGTTCTTAATTTCTAACCATCGTATTTCTTAACTACTAAAATGATGGTGTGAGGGTGGGCATGGTACCTTAGTGGGTTAAACCACTGCTTGGGTCACCCACATCATGTATCTTAGTGTTTGGGATTGAGGCCTACTTCTGCTTCGAGTGTAGCTTCCTGCTAATACATCTAAGGGGGCAACAGTTGATGGCTCAAGTACTTGTGTTCCTGACTCCCAGCTTCAGCCTAGCCCACCAGTGACTTGCAGGCAATCAGGGAATGATGAAGAACATGAAAGTTACCTCCATCTCTCCCTCTCTATCCCTTTCTCTGTCACTTTGCCTTTAAAATAAATATGCTTAATTTAAAAAGTGTAATTCTTTTCTGGAAATCCTTAAAAAAAGGATCTTTTACCTTTTTGGTTTGTTTCAAACATTTTAAGATATGAATGGTTCTTTTATATGCATTGGTTTGCATATTAGATTTCATTTTTATTTACTTTGAGAAAGGTTCTGTTTTATTTACTTTCATTGTATGAAAGTTTAGTATCAAGAAATGTCGGTTGTCAGTTGTTTAAAGATGAGTTAAAATTTTTAAAAATCTGAATTCACTTATTTATTCAAGCACCTGTTTTTATTTCCTCTGTCCCTCCCTAGTCCTCGTCTATTGATATACTTGCTTATGTTTTACTCCTTTTGTACTTGGGCCAGTGTGGTGCTGTGTAAAAGTATTGTATGAAACTCACCATTAGCTTTAAGTGAAGAGCTGTAGTGATGGCGTTGATATCATTTTGTGATCTGATACTTTGAAAGAATTTATTTTTAGCCTAGTGACCAGATAAACCATGAAACTTCAATAAATTGATATTAAAGTAGAGTAGCCTTATGGTTCCTAACGCCAAGTACTGTGAATTCTGTATGAAGATATTTTTACTTCTTCATTTTGTAATATCATAATCTATTGCTCATGTTTTTGTTTCAGAGTATTTTATTTGGCCTTATGTTGTTTAGCGGTACAAAAACATTAAGATTTCTTTCATGGCAGTAGAATGTAAGCTCCTTGAGGGCAGGGATTTATGGTTGTAAATCCTGCTTCTTATGTAGGAGGTACTTCCTGAATGCTTGTCGAATAAATGATTTTTAAAAGTGTTGGAAAGTCAATTATGCTTCCATTGAGGTATTAATTATCCTGATAAAAACGTCTTTAGATATGTTCAGTGGTTGTTAACTAAGTAGAAACCCACTTTTCTTTTCTTGCTAAGGTAAAGGATTTAATATATTTATTTTTTAGGTTCGACCGAATAGCCCTTCTCCTACAGCATTAGCTTTTGGGGACCACCCTGTTGTACAACCAAAGCAGTTATCCTTTAAAATTACTCAGGTAATCAATAATTAAAATTTTTTGTGTGACTGTAAGAAACCGATAACTTTTCATGAGTTTGGAATACAGATACTGAGTTTGTCACTTGAATTTTTATGTGCAAGAGTTTGGCAGGGCCGGCACCGCAGCTCAATAGGCTAATCCTCCACCTAGTGGCGCCGGCACACCGGGTTCTAGTCCTGGTCGGGGCGCCGGATTCTGCCCCGGTTGCCCCTCTTCCAGGCCAGCTCTCTGCTATGGCCTGGGAGTGCAGTGGAGGATGGCCCAAGTGCTTGGGCCCTGCACCCCATGGGAGACCAGGAGAAGCACCTGGCTCCTGCCATCGGATCAGCACGGTACGCCGGCCGCCATGTGCCGGCCGCGGCGGCCGGCCATTGGAGGGTGAACCAACAGCAAAGGAAGACCTTTCTCTCTGTCTCTCACTGTCCACTCTGCCTATAAAAAAAAAAGAGTGCCAGAACATGGATGATGTACCCTGAGCACCTCAGCTCCCATATCTATCTCCGTTAGACTTTGTTTGTGGTGGGCTTACATCCTAACTGTTGTGTATTTTTCAAAACCTCTCTTTGGAAGATCTTGAAGCTGAAATTGGGATGTATTTCCTGGAGTTATTGAGCAGCTCATGAATGGTTTTGCTTCATGAGGTGTTGGTCAAAGTATATAATACTTCATTAAGACAGGAGGAATAAATTTAAGGGGGTCTTTGCACATTTTGATGATTAAAATTAATAATAATTTACTACGTATATGAAATTTTCTAAGAAATTTCCTGATTGAGCCATTCCACATATGTGGAGTGATTTCCAAGCAGAATGCTATATATCACAAATACATACAGTATTTACCTTTCAATTAAAAATTTTTTATAAAAGTTTTAGCAAGTTTAAGAATTAACTGGAGTGATGTATAGCATAAAGCAGTGGATATATTCAATTTTAATGAATATCAGTTTTCTAAATAATAGCTTAAATATTGTAAATTTGTATTTATAGTGAAGTTGTTTTAAGCGCTTATAACTTCACTATAAACTTAAAACTGTACTAAGACATTTTGGGATGTCTTTTGCATCACAACACAAATACACGTATATTTCTTTGTCAGGTAAAACCTAGTTTTATATTTGCATGCAAAGGTATTTATAATGGAGATAATAAAATAACTTTATTTCATCTAGACTGATCTCACAATGCTGAAATTAGCAGCATTAGAAAGTAATAAAAACCAGGACCTGGAAAAGAAGGAAGGTCGTATAGATGATTTGCTCAGGGTAAGTAAGAAGTTGTGGGGCAGGCGTTTGCATGATGATTAAGATGCCCCTTGGAATACCCATATCCTATATCCAAGTGGTGGGTTCTAGCCCCGGCTCCACATTCAATTCCAGCTTTCTGCTAATGAGCGCCCTGGGAGTCATCAGGCAATGACTTGAAGTGCTTGGGGCCTTCTACCCATGTGGATCTGGCTCCTGCTTTATGTCTGGCCCAGCTCTGGCTGTTGTAAGCATTTGGGAATGACCCAGAGGTCTCTCTGTGTCTGTCAGCTTTCTCCTTGTCTGTCAATTAAATTAATTAATTAACTTAAAAGAAGTAGAGGAGAAAAGTTGAGAGTAAATTATTTGACAGCAATCTTAAAAATACATAGCATTGTAAAAAAAATTGATAGATAAAAAAATTTAACTTTTTCTGGTAGTATAAGTACATGATTGGAAGTACCAACTTCAAAATGGAAGTATTTCAGCAGTGTGCATATGCAGTGGGTTAAGCTACCCCTACTAGCAAATGCCTGCATGCATATTGGGGTGCGGTTAGAGTACTGACTGCTCTACTTGCAATCCAGCTTCCTACTAAAATACCTGGAAGGCAGTGGATAATGGCCCAAGTTCTTGGGTTCTTGCCACACACTTGGGAAACCTGAATGGAGTTCCTGGCTCTTGACTTCAGTCTGGCCCAGACCTGGATAGGCATCTTACGGTGTCATCCACAAGTTTAATGGAGAAAATGTCTTTTTAGTTACAAGAGATATAAAACTCACATTTATTTTTAGTGTTAGACACATTGTATGCCATTTTAGTTCTTTTTAATGAAGTATGAGTTAGGTGGTATTAACACCATTTAGAGGGGCCAGCACCATGGCACAGTAGGTTAATCCTCCGCCTGCAGCGCTGGCATCCTATATGGGCACCGGTTCTAGTCCCAGCTGCTCCTCTTCCAACCCAGCTCTCTGCTGTGGCCTGGGAAAGCGGTGCAAGATGGCCCGAGCACTTGGACCCCTGCACCCTCATGGGAGACCAGGAGGAAGCTCCTGGCTCCTGGCTTCGGATAGGCGCAGCTCCGGCTGTTGCAGCCATTTGGGGCGTGAACCAACAGAAGACCTTTCTCTCTGTCTCTCCCTCTCACTGTCTGTAACTCTACCTCTCAAATAAATAAAAAAGAAAAACAAAAAGTAAACACCATTTAGAAATTTAAAAACCAAACTTAGGTCCAGGTTAATTTACTTAACCTAGCCAACCTTGTATACCTTAGCAAGGGTGGGCAACCTTTTTCCTGCCAAGAGCCATTTAGATATTTATAACATCATTTGCGGGCCATACAGAATTATCAGCTTTAAAATTAGCCTGCTGTATAGATGTATTAAATTTCAATACTTGTCTGTAGTTGCCTTGGCCAGGCCAGACCAAATGATTTCGCTGGGCCTTCTCCAGCCCTGTCTTAGAGTGTGGATTATGGTTACAGAGTCCACATACTTTCTGTTATACTGTTAAGTAGCATTATAGCATGGTAAGTAGGCTTTTTTTGTTGTTGTTTAGTATCATACTCAGATGTTTAATCCTATCCCTATTTAATGTATTCAGAATATTAAAGATATTCCTAAGTTTTTCATATATTTAAATTCTAGTGTTTTCTACTTATGTTGTAGGCTAACTGTGATCTCAGACGGCAAATAGATGAACAACAAAAATTACTTGAAAAATACAAAGAACGATTAAATAAGTGTATATCAATGAGCAAGAAACTTCTTATTGAAAAGGTAGGTTAAAAGTTCAGTAAATTTTCTTTCACAGCCACTTATGCCTTGTATGCTTTTAAAATGTAAATGAATAAATCTGAGTTATGATTTTGTCTTTTTTCAGAGTACACAAGAAAAACTGTCAAGCAGAGAGAAGAGTATGCAAGATAGATTACGCCTTGGACACTTTACCACAGTTAGACATGGCGCCTCATTTACTGAACAATGGACAGATGGTTTTGCATTTCAGAATCTTGTGAAGTTAGTCATTCTTATTTTTAAAAATTTTTAGCATATGACTTTTCATTACTTTGAAAGATTATGGATTTAGAATTATGTTCTACATCTCCTTACTGGCATTTGGAATCACAGATTTCTTAGATTTGAAAGGAATAGGAAACAGATATATTACAATTTAGCATTAGCAACCTTCTTGATAAATTAGCATTCACCTAGTTAAATATTGATATTCTGTGTTTACCTGTTCTTTGTTGTTAGTAAGGAAAAGAACTCCTCCCCCCACGACTTTTTTATTTTTAAGGAGTGTTTTAAGTTTGTTTGAAAGACAGATAACATCTGTCCACTGGTTCGCTTCCCAAATGACTGTAACAGCTAGGTCTGAGCCAGGTCAAAGCCAACAGCCAGAAACTCCATCTGCCACATGTGTAGCAGGGACCCAAGCACTTGGGCCGTCATTCACTGCAGTGTTCCCAGGCACATTAGCAAGAAGCTGGATTGGAAGTAGAGCAGCTAGGATTTGAATTGGCACTATGATGTGGGATATTAACTTCCCAAGCAGCAGCTTGACCCACTTCCCTATAACACCGGCCTCAGAAGTTTTTCCCTTTTGCCTCAAATGCAGTACTTTTAAGTCATGAGCTGAATATGTGGTGTTAGTGTTTCTGAGGTAAACTTTAAAACAAAGGGATCGTTGTTACTATATTCTCTTGAGTTTGATGGTAGCAGGTAAGGATAGGTTGGTTATGTGTAAAGAGCATCTATGCTGTTCCTTTTTGTGCTGGAAAACGTAGAGAAACCCAGAAGGAAAACTAGTGCCAGCATTTGTATCAATTTTTCCAGAGTTGGAAAACCGAGCCAAAGCCTTTGTTTTACGTGATATCACATCAGCTTTGCTGGTGACTGGTTTCTGGGTGTTGCTGCAGGCTGATCTCCCTGAGCAGACTGATTCAGCACCGCTGATCAGGTGTTAGGCATGCCGCGTGAAGGGCAGCACCCTTGTGATGCTAGTGAGCCTGAGTTTTAATTCTCTGGAGAATAGGAGCAGTTAAAGGTTTATATGTAGTGTGTGTGACTTGAATTGAGCTGTAGACTGATAATTCTGATGGCAAAGTGGAAAGAATATTGGAAAGAGGATAAATTGTTGATAGTTAAGATGGAAAGGTATCTAAATGAAAGATGAGTAAAGCTTGAGCTAAAATATTGACAGTAAAAGTAGAGAACAAGAAATAGAAACCATAAGTTTTGAGCAAGAACCTCTACTGCTAAACCCAGACCTGCACTCTAATAAAGAACTAAAATATGTATTCTGCCAGTAGTTAGTCGTTTCTCTGTTGAGCTAGCAAAAAAGTAAAACTATTTGTATGTCATAAATATTAATAATAAGCATTTATTGAATGTGTTGTTACATGTACATATTTATATCAAGCTATTCATAATTAGTGATATAGCCCAAAGTGGCTAGAGGATTTAATAGACCAGAAATTTCTTAATTTTTAGCCTCAGTGAGCCATTTTCTGTCTTTCAGGTTCTTAAATGGGAAACATTAATAAAATATTACTAATACCCCATTTTTCAAAGCCATGTTAAATTTTTTTTAAAGATTTCTTTATTTATTTGAAAGTCAGAGTTACACAGAGAGAGGAGAGGCAGAGAGAGAGAGAAAGGTCTTCCATCCACTGGTTCACTTCCCCAGTTGGCCGCAACAGTCGGGGAGCTGCACCAATCTGAAACCAGGAACCAGGAGCCTCCTCCCAGACTCCCACACAGGTGCAAGGGCCCAAGGACTTGGGCCATCTTCTACTGCTTTCCCAGGCCAGAGAGCTGGATCGGAAGTGGAGCAGCCGGGACTTGAACCAGCGCCCATATGGGATGCCGGCACTGCAACTGGCAGCTTCACCCACTAAATCACAGCGCTGTCCCCACCATGTTAAATTTTCTTGCTATTTCTTGTTTCCTTAAATTGTCAAAATTCCCCTTTTGTTCCTGGTTTTCTGTTGTTAAGGTTAGTTTTTCTCTCCTTTCAAAATATCGGCTGCCTGTTCTTAAAATTTCTTTTTAACAGAGGTAAATTTAGAAAACAGTACTTTTCATATTGAATTCATATTTGCCTTTTGAAAATTTGTCTGCAGATACTAAATGATGAAACACATTTATAAGATCTACCCTATATTTAAGTTTGTTAGCATCCTTTCTCTCTTTTAGCTCATTTGTGTCATTCAACAAATATTATTGAGCACTTAGTATGAATACTTCGATGGAGTGATAGAATCTATCCAGACACATTCTGATAAAGTGTTTATATATAGGACATTAGAATGGAGGGAGTGGGAAAATATAAGGTGCCCTGAGATTATATAGGACAACACATCTTTCCCTGCTCCGGGGGTTAGAAGCATACCTCCCTTAAAATGATTTTTTCACATGAACCGGAAAGGAGAAGAGCAGGCTGGTTCACAAGAGTCGGACCAAAAAGTTGCAAACTCAAGCTATGAATGTTCATGTTTTTAAGGTTTTTTTCTCCCATGTTTCAACTGTGAAAGGTAATGGAAGGTTAATATGATTTTGTTTTGTTTTTTTATACAGGCAACAAGAGTGGGTGAATCAGCAAAGGGAAGATATTGAAAGGCAAAGGAAACTTCTAGCCAAACGCAAACCTCCCACAGCTAATAATTCTCAGGCACCCTCTACCAATTCTGAACCAAAACAAAGGAAAAACAAAGCAGTCAATGGAGCAGAAAATGATCCCTTTGTTAGACCAAATTTACCACAACTGTAAGCTTCCATTTTTAAAATTATCTTTAAAAGACTGTTGGTGTTGCCAGTGAACATGATGTTCCTAATGGTTGTAATTAAATTAATGAAGTGGAAAAATTGGTATGGCCAGGAAGGAAGGCAATACTGAAAATTTGGCTCTAAACCCCAAGTTTGTGAATTCTACCTTTTTTATGGAGATAACAGTTCTCTTTTAAAACAGGTACTTGGGTTAACTGAAGGAACTGGAATTTACATTCTTCTAGGTTAGAATCAGTTGAAGAGTCAGTTAATGTTTTGATTATTCCAGTTCAGTGTTCTGATTAACGTTCCTTGTTTTGAAACACTGCTAATAAGTAGTATGACAGACATTTTGCATTGTTTTCTCAAACTTTAACTTATTGGTAGGTTATGATTATGGGTAGTGTTTTTTCCCTTTCTGCTTCTCTTTGTTTTCTAAGTGTTCTGTGCTAATGAATTAGTCTTTGTAATTCCGAGTAAAATACATCTAAAAAAAAGTGAATGTGATTATTGTAGAAAATTTCGAAATTATGGAAGAGAATAATGTAGTCCATGATCTTATTTCTCAGAGAACAGCATTATTTAAAATTTCATTGTATAGATGCATCCAAACTTACATCATTTTTCTGTTCTAGAACTTAGGTATATTTATATGAGTAGAAAATATAGACTGCTTTTTTTACCCTCTGATATTTTGTACATATAGATACATTCTTTTCTCCTCTGTTGTCCGTGATTCGAATCCTACCCCTTGCTTTATCAGGAACCTGCTCTGTTGATAGCTCCTTTGTCTCACATTTTCAGCCTTTTGCTCTCTGCAGGTTCCTTCCGTTCAGAAAGCATATGTAAGCAGAAACAGAAAAACTTCTGTCGGGTACAAATCCCAATAGTCTATTTTCTATCTGCCCTCAAAACCGGTTTCTTAGAAGAGTTGTCTGTGCTTGCAGGCTCTTCTGCCTTACCCCTTTTCTTAACTGAAATTGTTTTTCTGAAGTTACCTGCCGTGTTGAAGCTAAATACCATAATTTTGAGTTTCTGACTTGACAGCCTTGAATATTGTCAACATTTTTCTAAAAACTCTTTCTTGCCTTAGTTTTTGAGATACTCTGTTCTAGTTTTCATTTTCATTCATCTGTTTATATCTTCTCAGTTTCTTCTATAGACATCATTTACTTCCCAGACTGTAAAATGTGGGTGATTTTAGGAATCTGTCTTAGGCCATCTTTCTTCTCGCTCCACACTGAGTGCTGTGTACTCTCAGGGTTTCCCATGTGGGATATGGGTGAAGTGCTGTACCAGATATTCACCCTAGTATCTTCACAGAGGAAGATAGCAAAGTAGACAGCAATATTTCACCTTATATTTATATTATTGAAGTTTTAGAGGTCAGTATTTTTTCATTAGAGCTTTAAATCAAGAATATTTATTTTATATATCATTTGGCTATTATTTAGCGGATTGCTTGTCTTTTATAAATAGCCTATAATTAGATATTTTTGATTAATAAACTTTTATCTTTAGTTTGTGATCACAGAAGAGCAGAAAGTATGGAGGGTTCCTGTAAACCCCTGTCCCCACCCATGCACAACTTGCCTTGCTTATCAACATCCTACACCAGAGTGGCACACTTGTTAAAATTGATGAACCTGAATTGGTACATAGTTGTTACCCGAATTCTGCAGTTTACATTAGGGTTCATTCTTGTTGCTGTACATACTGCGGGTTTGTCAGATACATAATTTTTTTAAAAAAATCCTATCTGGAAAATATTTTTCATTGTGGCATTATATCCATTTTCAGTTCATATTTATTGGGGTATAAATCTGATCCTTCTTTGTGCTTTTTATCCTCCCTAGTTTCTAGTCTTTTTTTTTTCTTTTTTTTTTTTTAAGATTTATTTATTTATTTGAAAGAGTTACAGAGAGGCAGAGAAACATAGGTCTTTTATCCACTGGTTCATTCCACAAATGGCTGCACTGGCTGGAGCTGGGCCGGTCCGAAGCCAGGAACCAGGAGCTTCTTCCGGGTCTCCCACATGGGTGCAGGGACCCAAGGACTAGGGCCATCTTCTATTGCTTTCCCAGGCCAGCAGGGAGCTGGATCACAGTGGGGCAGCCAGGACTCAGATGGGATGCCAAATGGGATGCAGCACTGCAGTTGTTGGCTTTACCTACCATACCGCAGTACCAGCCCCTCCTTTTTTGTTTAACCTTTTATTGGATTGATCAGATTTTGTCTATTTCTTTCTTTGATTAGAAATATTACGTACACATGTCTGTCTATAAGGCATCATTATTGTCTTATATAGTCAGAGTTCATCTAGACTTTATCCACATATTTTCCCTTTTCTTTGTTCTTGTTCCTTCACCTCTGATCTACATCTGGTAAGATCCTTCTGTTTAAGAATACCATTTTGTGTGGGTCTTTTGGTAGTCTCTCAGTTTTTGTTTGAAAATAATTTTGCCTTCGTTCTTGAAATAGTTCACTGATTATAGGATTTTAGGTTGGTGGTCATTTGAAGGTATTATTTTACTGTTCTGTGACTTACATTATTGCTCTTAACAAGGTAGCTGCTGTTTTTAGAAAAAAAATCTTTTTTTAAAAAAACAATTATATTTGTAAAAGGTCACTGGGCTTGAAATGTTAAAAACAAAACTGATAGAAGACGGTGTAATAAACAGTTACAGATGACTGCAATAGTGAAATGATTATATTTTGGACAAGGCCTATGGGAACCAAAAGAAGTGGGTGAATCCCAAAAATAGCAGATCCACAGGGCATGGTGGCTTACGTAGGGAGTAGTGAAGAGCTGACTGGATGCCGGAGGTGATGGCAACATGCATTTACGATGATGAGCACTTTTTCTAGAGACTTTTCCACGTTGCTTGCATCCATTTAGATCTCTCTCTCCAATGTGGCTTTTCCTGATAAATGCCCAAGCTGACTGAATATCTTCCTATGTTCCTTACATTCAATGGTTTTTCAGTAAAGAACTGACTGATGGCTAGTGTCTTTGCAATGTGCACAACATTTTAAAGGTTTCTTTCTAGTATAACATCTTTAATGACAATTGAAGTATATATTTGTTCTGAATGCCTTCCCACATTTAACACATACGTGGGGTTTTACTCCCACGTAAAGTCTCTGATGCTGAGCATGGATAGATGTGTTAGCAAAAGCCTTTCTACATCCAGCACACTTACTGGCTTTCTTTCTAGTTGAACTCTCTTATGTTCTCCCACATTGTTTACACTCACAAGGGTTCCCTCTGGAATGAATTTTCTCATGATTGATAAGATATGCCCTCTGTCTGAAAGCTTTCCCACATTGCTTACATAGTTTCTCTCCAGTATGAATTCTCTGATAAGCAGCCAGCTGAGAACTGACTGTAAAGGCTTTTCCCGTTCCTTACATTCATAGGGTTTTTCATCAGTGTGAATTCTCAAATGAATAGCAAGGTTTATACTCTGCCTAAATGCCTTCCCACGTACCTTACATCTCCAGCATGTACCCTTTGATGACCACTGAGTGACAGTGGCTAAAGGCTTTCCCACAAACATCGCATTCATTAAGTTTCTCTCCTGTGTGAATTCACTGATGTTGTGGTCAGGGAAAAACCACTGCAGGAAGATTGTCTTCGCACATTACATTTGAACACTTTCTCACAGTCAGTGCAATTGAAAGAGCTCTCTCCAGTATGGAGATGGTTGGCATGAGAGATAAAGAGCATGTTACACCTGAAGGATGTGGAGAGTGGTTTGCCAGTGTGACATCTCTGATGTTGAGCAAAAGATGAGCCCTGTCTAAAGGCATTTCCACAATCCTTACATTCATGGGATTTCTCTTCAGTATGAAACTTGTGATACTGTACCAGGTGTGCTGGTTGCTTGAAGGCCTTTACACATGCCTTACATGTAAACTGTTTCTCCCCAGTTTGTGTTCTATGATGTTGAGCAAAGTGGTGACTCTATTGAAGCATTTTCCATATACCTTACATCCGTATGATTTTTCACCAGTATGAATTCTCTGATGAACAGTGGTGGATGAACAGTGGGTGAGGGTTTTCTCAGTGCAATATGTAAGTTTCTTTCCTGAGTAGTCTTCCTTATATTTTAGTACCTTGAAGAAGTTTTTGGAGAAGCTTCTCTTAATTGACTTGTGATCATAAATACTCTTCTATATTGTCCAGGTGAACAGATTTGCACAAGCTGGTATATTTTTGAACTATTTCCCTCTTTATGAGTGATTGTTTTTTTGCCTGCTAAATGTCTCTTGACATCTGCCTCTCAAAAAGATCTTCACTTTCCAATTTTTTTCTACAGTAGGACACTCAAGTCCAAAGGTTGTAAATCTCTCCTTTAACACATTTTCGTTTGTGAACTGCTACAATGATAGTTCTTGTATCTCCTCTGTGATGGGCTTCTTGTCAACTTATTGTTTATCTTCCAAGGCTCATTCCCTTGCTCCAATAAAGAACTGGCTTAGAAGTGTGAAGTCACAGGGATACCAGATTCTTGTAGTTCACCAACAGCACACTGCTGTAAAAATGCCTCTGGGCAGTATTCTCCTATTCTCATTCTTCCTGGAAAAAGTCTGTTGCTGAATCCTGGAATATCAACACATTCTGGGGCATGGGTTTTTCTAGTTCAGTAGTCATTTTGCTTTCTTATAATTTCTCTCTTGGAAAATAATTGTATCCTGGGAATGCAAGGTAGCCTTGTTTGGAAGAAAACATCATTTAGAAAAAAATATCTTAAATGGAACATGAACAATATTTGAAGATTAAGTCATTGAGAGTATTTCAAAACAGTTAACCAGTGTCAGCCTACAGATTCATTAAGGCCAGCAAATTCTAAACAGGTTGAAAAGAACTATTTGAAAATTCAGAAAATCAAGGCAATGAGAAAAAATTCTCAGAAACAGCCAAAGGGAAAAAAGATCCATTGAAATAAAAGTTTAGAAAAAGATCTTCCAGGCAAGCACCAACCAAAAGGAAGTTG